TTGCATGGGGCCTGTAGCCCCTTTGTTTTGGCCAATTTCTCCCATTTGGAATGGGTGTAGGTACCCATTGCCTGTACCCCTATTGTATCTAGGAAGTAATTAACTTGCTTTTGATCTTACAGGCTCAGGGGCCTTGTCACAGATGAAACTTGCGGCTGTGGACTTTTGAGTTAATGCTGAAACGAGTTAAGACTTTGAGGGGCTGTTGGGAAGGCATGATTGGTTTTCAAATGTGAGGACATGAGACTAGAGAGGGGCTGGTGTGGAACGATATGGTTTGGCTGTGTACTCACCCAAATCTCATCTTGAACTGTAATAATCCTCATGTGTCAAGAGCAGGGCTGAGTGGAAATAATTGAACTATAGGAATGATTTTTCCCATAATGTTCTTTCGGTAGTGATTAAGTCTCACAAGATCTATGGTTTTATAAATGCGAGTTCCCTGGTGCAAGCTCTCTTACCTGTCACCATTTAAGACATGACTTTGCTCCTCATTCACCTTGTGCCATGATTATGAGGCCTCCCCAGCCATGTGGAACCATGAGTCAACTAAACCTCTTTCCTTTATAAATTACCCAGTCTCAGGTATGTCTTTATTAGCAGCGTGAGAACAGACTAATATACAACTACCAAAGGCACAATCTGTGAAAAAAAAATTGATAAGTTTGACCCTACTAAAATTTAAACTTTGGTTCTGCAAAAGATACTATCAAGAGAATGAGAAGACCAGCCACAGACTGGGACAAAATACTTGCAAAAGACATATCTGATAAAGGATTGTTATCCAAAATGTACAAAGAACTCGAAAAACTCAACAATAAGAAAACAAACAACCTCATTTTAAAATGGGGTCTTAACAGAACTGAACAGACACCTCATCAAAGAATATGGACAATGGCAAATAAGCATACAGAAAGATGCCAACATCGTAAGTCATTAGGGAATTGCAAATTCAAACAATGAAATACTGCTATACACCTATTAGAACAGCCAAAATTCAAAACACTAACAACCGAAATCCAAAACACTAACAATATAAATGCTGGCAAGGATGTGGAACAATATGAACTCATTCATTGCTGGTGGAAATGCAAAACAGTATAGACTCTTTGGAAGACATTTTGACAGTTTCTTGCAAAACTGAACATACTCTTGCTGTATGATTCAGCAATTGTGGTCCTTGGTATTTTCTTTCTTTTTTTTCCAGAGATGGGGTCTCACTCTGTCACCGAGGCAGGAGTCCAAGGGTGCGTTCCCAGCTCACTGCAACCTCAACCTCCTGGGCTCAAGTGATCCTCCCACCTCAGCCTCCCAAATAGCTGAGACCACAGGCACCTGCCACCATGCCCAGCTAATTTTTTGCATTTTTGGTAGAGACAGGTTTTCACCATGTTGCCCAGGCTGGTCTCAAATTCCTGAGCTCAAGCGCTCAGTCTGCTTTGGCCTCCCAAGGTGCTGGAATTATAGGAGTCAGCCACTGTACCTGGCCTTCTCCTTGGTACTTATCCAAATAAGTTGAAAACCTGTATCTACACAAAACCTGCACACTGATATTTATAGCAGTTTTATTTATAATTGCTAAAACTTGGAAGCCACCAAGTTGTCCTTCAGTAGGTGAACATATAAGTTCTGTGGTACATCCAGCAGTGAAATATTATTCAGCACTAAAAAGAAATGAGTTATGAAATCATGCACAGACATGGATAAGCTTAAATGCATATTAGTAAGTGGAATAAGGCAGTAAGAAAAGGCTATATACCGTGTGACTCCAACTGTGTAACATTCTGGAAAAAGGTAAAACTATGGAGACAGTAAAAGTAGCAGTGGTTGTGAAGATTAAGATAATGTAAAGCATTTTGTAAACTGAAAAGTAAATGAAATACTGTCCCCATAATGTTTTGGGACTTAAGGGTCTGAGGCTGGATAACTCTTTCTGTATTTTTCTGTACTTTGTAAAATTTTGGGGTGGGAGGTTAAATGGTATTTAAGAAATCCAAACATTATATTCAGAACCCCTAAGTTCCTAAATGTGCCACATTTACTGCTGTTTTGAAATGACAAAAGAAGAAAATCTTTAGAAGAGAGGGGACTCCATAAACTTCAGATTCCAAGTATCTTCAGAGCAAGACATCCAGTGTGACTTTCCTGTTACTCCAGAATTACAGTCGAGAACAAAAGGCACTGAGTCCACCTCCTTCTAAGTACAGTGACGAAGCCTGAAGTTGACAGCAACCACCAGATGCAAAGCAGGTTCTCTGTGCACTGGTTACCGGTTCAGCCCACTGCATTTTGGACTGCACTTTTCCTATATCCAGTGTCCAGTGACACAGAACACTCACACACAAGTTACATGAAGTGAGTTTATTACAGACAGGCAGCAAGGGACGAGAGAAGCATAAGTCATGATGACCATATCTCTCAAGGCTGAGGAAAACGGCTTAGGGAGGATGGCGTCTCATTGGCTCGTGCACCGCTTGCACTGCAACTAAGGGACCCCAGAAAGCAGTTTGCTCTCATTTTTTACCACAGGGCAATGGAATGTGCTGGGCTAGTACTAGTTGAAGGACATCCTATTTCTAGAAGAGGCTGGAACACAGCCTAGGCTGTTCTGGTCAGTTCTTCCTTGTCTACAGTATATTGCATTCCAACACATTCTACAGTTATTCTCGAGAACTACAAGTGAGAAAAGGGGAAGAAACTGTGTTGGTTCAAGGCCACCCAGAGAACTATTCTGTATGAGACACTTCCAACCCTAGCCTACTAACAGCTGACAAAGAAGAAAAGTGGTAGCACCGCCCCACCACTCTTTAGGAGGTTGAACATCCCTGGGAGCTAGGGGACCTGCTACTAGGAGGAAACTCTAGGAGGAAAACAAGCAAAGAAATGGCTTGGGAGAGATGCGAGGATCTGCATGTTGGTGTGTCAGATGGACATGTGGCCAGAATCCTTTTGCTTAAGTTTGCAATTCAAAGAAATACAGGGGCCGGGCGCAGTGGCTCACGCCTATAATCCCAGCACTTTGGGAGGCCAAGGCCGGCGGATCACCTGAGGTCAGGAGTTCATAGACCAACATGGTGAAACCCCGTCTCTACTAAAAATATAAAAAATTAGCTGGGCGTGGTGGCAGGCACCTGTAATCCCAGCTACTTGGGAGGCTGAGGCAAGAGAATCGCTTGAACCCAGGAGGTGGAGGTTGCAGTGAGCCATGATCGCGCCATTGCACTCCAGCCCGGGAAACAAGAGCGAAACTCGGTCTCGAAAAAAAAAAAAAAGAAAAGAAAAGAAAAAAGAAATACAGAAGATAGAGCCTGTCTGCGCCTGCGCACCTGAGAGTAGGCCACAGGAACATGAGATTGATGTCTTTAATCTTGTCAGAACCGATAGACATTGAGGCAAAGAAGTGAGTATTTTACAGAAATGTGGCAAGGTGTCAGCATGGGAGGTAGGGTGGGGTCTGCAGAATACATGGCCAAATCTCAATGGGACACCGGTGTCTAGGGAGCTTCCTTAACAAGCATCATGTAGCTGCATAACTGCAGCAATGGGCAGTGAGGAAGAAGACTGTAGGCTTCCCTGATCGTGGCCTTTCGGCTCTCCTTCTTTGTCCATCATCAGAGGAGCTACTGCAGAGGAGACTAGGAGAGAAACAAGTGTGTGAAGGGTATGCCTGGTGCCCAGCCCTCAGTTCTTCAGGCTCCACTGCCAAAGGGAGGAAAATTGCACTGCGAAAGGGAGATGGACATGAGATTCAACTTTTAAAGTAAAGTTAAATGAATCTTAGAAACCAAAATGAGAACAGTTGAAAAAGGGACAATGTTAGAAAAATTAAGTCACATAGCCAAGACGTGAACAGGTGTTTCCCGGGGGAAAAAGAGGCTCTAGCGAACGAAGAATAGGTAGGTATTACAAAAATGCAACTGTTTGCACACACACGTGTGTAAGTATGTGTGCATACATGTGTATGTGTAAACAGCTGCGTTTTTGTAATACCTCCCCAATCTTTACACATGTAATTATAGAAATATAATATAAATATTATTGCACACACACATATATATGATGATAGCGGATGTGGCATGTAGGATGAATCTTGAGAAATGGGTTGGAATGTGGGCAATACCAAGTTGGGAATAAGGAATTCAGGAGAACAGCTTGAACAAAAAGGGCAAAGACAGTACAGACTTGCCGCGGGGAAGTACAGAACCATTCTAGAGGACCACTTCGAAGTCCAGATGGACAGAAACATTAGGGTGTTAAAGGGGATGATAAGGCTTGGATGGGCAGTTTACCTCAAACAGTGGCGGTGATTGAAGTCAGGCACAATGTCTGTTTTTCTCCCCACTGTAAACCCAACTCACAGCGGTTGGTCAAAGTCTTGCCGAATAAGTGAAAAAAAAGACTGAAGTGACTGGACTACCAAGCTGTAGAGCCTTTCTTTTATGTACTAAGCAATGTACAGCCAAGAAAGGATACCTTAGATGAGAATGACGTGGGTAGAGGGGTGTTTCAGGAACATGGCTAAAGAGTTTCGTTCCCAGCCTCAGCTGGGAGGCTGAATAAAAGACAGTAGCAGGTCCACTCCAGCCTTTGAGGACACTTTTGGGAACCCTGGTGGATTCCCAGCCTCAACACTTACTGAGGGCTGTTTTCCACCCCTAGGTTCTTTCCGGCATTTGTAATTTCCGGTCCACTCAGGACACTTTTACTCCTCAGAAACCGTTTCTGGGGGGGGCCGTGAGAGGAGACACTGTAAGACGTCCTGGACCCAAGGGACGCGCAGGTCCCCTGGAAGCGTCCATCGCATGGACGACCGCATGTGCCTTGCTAGGGTTCCGTTCAGAAAATCCAGGGTCGTTCGCTCATCGCCCTCCACACGACCAGGGGGCGCCCGCGGCCTCCGCCCGGCTAGTTCGCAGGCGTGCGCCTTCTCTCACTGCGCCGGGCTGGGCCATATTCTCAGACCCAGAAGCCGCGTCAGAATTCCACGCTGGCCAATCAGAACTGTCCATGTACTAGCGGGGGCGGGGCTGAAAAGGGAGGAGGAAGATGGCGGCGGGGGCGAGGTGAGGTGTTGGCAGTGGAAAGGGGTTCGGGCTCGGGGGGCGGGGGGACGTGGAGCGATGGCCCGCGCCGGCCGCAGGGGCGGATAAAAAGCCGTCGCGCCGCGGGAGTGGGCGGGAGGGAGAGGGGGTGCCCGAGGGCCACAAGAGTATGACGGGGCTGTACGAGCTGGTGTGGCGGGTGCTGCACGCGCTGCTCTGTCTGCACCGCACGCTCACCTCCTGGCTCCGCGTTCGGTTCGGCACCTGGAACTGGATCTGGCGGCGCTGCTGCCGCGCCGCTTCTGCCGCGGTCCTAGCGCCGCTCGGCTTCACGCTCCGCAAGCCCCCGGCAGTCGGCAGGAACCGCCGTCACCACCGGCACTCGCGCGGGGGGTCGTGCCTGGCCGCCGCCCACCACCGGATGCGCTGGCGCGCGGACGGCCGGTCCTTGGAGAAGCTGCCTGTGCATATGGGCCTGGTGATCACTGAGGTGGAGCAGGAACCCAGCTTCTCGGACATCGCGAGCCTCGTGGTGTGGTGTATGGCCGTGGGCATCTCCTACATCAGCGTCTACGACCACCAAGGTGAGGCCCAGTGCGGTGGTGGGTGGTGGCCGAGGTGTCTTGGACCGCTGGACCGTCTGGCGGGTGGTGCCCAGGGCGTGAGTTGCCGCGGTCTCTGCAAATCACAGCGCTAGCGCTTTCAAGGAAGGGAGACAAGCTTTATTGAACACCTACTAAGTCGCTGGATTTGACTCGGTAGGTTTTTAACGTTTTAAAAATATCCCTTGGCCGGGCGCGGTGGCTCATGCCTGTAATCCCAGCACTTTGTGAGGCCGAGGCGGGCGAGTCACCTGAGGTCGGGAGTTCGAGACCAGCCTGACCAACATGGAGAACCCTCGTCTCTACTAAAAATACAAAATTAGCCGGGCGTGGTGGCACATGCCTGTAATCACAGCTACTAAGGAGGCTGAGGCAGGAGACTCGCTTGAACCTGGGAGGCGGAGGTTGCGGTGAGCCAAGATGGCGCCATTGCACTCCAACCTGGGCAACAAGAGCGAAACAACATCTCAAAAAATAATAATAATAATAATAACAATAACAATTAAAATACCCCTTATTCGTTATAGTAGCTCAGTAATGTAGACGGTATTTGTATACCCTTGTCTCCCAAGAGGGAGCAAGGTTTAAAAACATTAACTGATTTGCCCAAGGCCACAAAGATGGGGCCTTGGGCAATGGGGATATTGGAATTTTAGCCATTCTGTGCTTTTTCACAATCTTTGCCTTCAGTTACACCACAGTGTTTCTTTAAGAGAACTTCCAGGCGCTGTTCTTAAGTCGCAGTCAGGCTATAGAGGACATAGGCATGGGCTGTGTGATAGGTACTGCAAATGGGAGCGGTTGGGGTCAGGTGGTATTTGAACTGGGTTTATGAAAAATATGTGAGAGATTGGATAGGCAGAAAAGAAAATGGTCCCTTTCTGTCTTGGAAGCCTGGGATGGTTTGTGATCCTTCATCATCAGTGCCCAACACAGTACTTGATAGAATTCTCCTCTCATACGTTTTGAGTTTTTGTAAGTATGAAAATTCAATACTTATTGGGTAGCTACAAACCTAAAGCCCTGTGCTAGGCATATTCCTTGGAATCTTGCATTTAATTCCATGGACTCTCAGGCTTGTTAGGAGGTAGGCACATGCTCACATATTTGATGTGGTTAATAACAATAAGTGTTGAGAGTAAAGTTACTACTGTGAGAAGAGAGGAGAGAAATTATGAATGAAGGAACTTGAGAAGTTCATGCAGTGGAGGTGGGATTTAAGCAGGACCTGGAAGAATAGGTAGGAGATAAGTTGAGGAATACTCAGGTTTGGGATGTCAGGTTTGGGTTTCAATCAGATCTTGAAAGCATTGGAATTTCTTTAAAGATAAAGATGTGAGAAGAATGTTTAGGAGTATTGGTATGAATGGAAGAAAATGAAAGTTTTATTCATTTTCAATAAATTACCTGTGTGCTCTAGAAAAGCATAAATCTTTGTCAGATAGGTAAATTTAAGTGCAGGGTTTTGTCAGAAAGGGTAGGAATAGGCCAGACAGTAACTCTTACAGGGTGATCTCTGATTGCCCTATCATCTTTGCTGCAGCCCGCAAGGAACGTGATGACGCAGTAGCCTGTCATCACCGAGTAATGGTTTGCCCTGTAGGGTAAAGTTTGATATATTCAGGGACTGACATTTATGGAACTTGCTAAAGAACTCAGCAGACCAATAGTAGTCATGAGACTGTTAGAAGATGACACAATCCATGCCTAAACCGATACAACCAGTATTGTCTGGCGAAAGAAAATTAGTGAAGCAAAAGTGGACATCAAAGACATTAAGCAATGTGGTGGATTGATATATAGCCAGGTGATTTAAAGCAAGTATCTTTTAAAGCAAGTATCTTTATCTTCCAGTAGGGGAGGAAAATGTATAGCTAAATTGTTTGACTTGATGACTGTGCCTACTAGTACAGACTATAATGTTGCCACATTTCCTTGTTCCGACAATTCCTGTGTTTAAATTGCTGATGTGATTCAGAAGTATCCTGTGTCATGGTTGCTAAAAGAAAAATGATTGCTAATTAAGAGGAAGAAGTAAGCTAAGCCAAGTTTTGACTGAGAACTGAAAGGCACCTTAAGGAGCATTTTTAGTGAAAAGCTGGCAGAATTTTGTGTCTTAACTGTAAAATAAGTTTTTTTTGTTTGTTTGCTTTTTAAAGGAATAAGGAATAATATTCCTGAAATAAGAGACCTTCAATTAGTCCATTCTTGGTTTTGATTCGTTCATGCATTCATTTACAGGTGACAGTCGGGGTCTGTTAAGTACCAGATACTCTTCCAGACATGGGAATGCAGCAGTGTACTCATGGAACTTAGATCTCAGTGGGAGTCTGACAAATAATATACGTGGGTAAATATGTGGTAGTGTAAGTGCAATGAGGAAAAATAAAGCAGGGAAGGGAAGATAGGAATGTTGAAAGTCAGTGGTGTAGGAAGGGGTACAGTTTTACGTAGGGAGGCCAAGGAAAGGCTCAGTAACTTTGAATGTAGACTTGAAAATATAGGCCCTGTGGATATGTAAGAATTACTCAGAGGGAGTATAGACACATAAGTTTTATTTAGTGTTTCTTTTTCAATGTTTCTTTTTTTTTTTTTTTGAGATGGAGTCTTGCTCTGTCGCCCAGGCTGGAGTGCAGTGGTGCAATCTAGGCTCACTGCAACCTCTGTCTCCCAGATTCAAGCAGCTCTCCTGTCTCATCCTCCCTGAGTAGCTGGGACTACAGGTGTGCACCACCACACCCTGCTAATTCTTGTATTTTTAGTAGAGACAGGGTTTTGCCATATTGGCCAGGCTGCTCTCAGATTCCTGACCTCAGGTGATCTGCCCGCCTCAGCCTCCCAAAGTGCTGGGATTACAGGTGTGAGTCACTGCACCCGGCCATATTCAGTGTTTCTAAATACACGTCTATTTAAGCTTCTTTCTAGATAGATATGTAACATGTAAAAAATCCTGTTGACATAAATGCCACTGGGATACAAGAAGTACAAGAAATGGTGTTTCTTAAGGAGTTTCCACTCAAGTAATGATGTCCATTAAAAATTAACACAAGCTAATATAGAAATGCTAAGTGAATGGCAGAGACTTTATTTAAGGAGCAAAAAATGGAAAATTTCCCAAGTTACCCCCATATTTGTCTGGTAAGGATGGGAGCAACACCTGAGCTGGACCTACTCAAAAAGATAGAATTGGGATTGGCGTGAACAGTGTTCTCTGTGTGTGAATGGGGATTTCACTAATGGCAGCATTCCCATTAGACTAGCTTCAGTAATAGCGTTGAGTAGAGTGTTGGGAGCAGTGAATATAGTAGGTTGATTTATGTAATGAACAGTTGGGAAATGAGGTAAGATGAAGTCTTGGACAGTTATTCTGGTTATCTGTTGCTTTGTAGAAATCTACCCAAAGCATAGTGTTTTAAAACAACGATTTATGTATTGACTTAGTTCAGTTGGGCAGTTTTTCCTTTGGGTTACTCATAAGCTTTCATTCAGATAGAGTCTGGGACCTAAAGGTTTCTCCTTGTGTCTGGTGCCTGGTTTTCGATGGCTGAAATAGATGGGGCAGGTTTGTCATCTGGCTTCACATGGTCTGGAGGTTGTGGCTAGCTTGGGCTTTTTCTTTTAATAGTGGCTTCAGGGTAACCACTTAGCTAACTTCCCGCAGAACGAATGTTTCCAGAGACTTAGCCAAAGGCTGAAGCTGAGAGATATCTTAGGACCTAACCTAGGAAATCGTGCAGTGTTATTTTTTCTATGTTCTCTTGGTCAGAGAAGTCTCACGTCTGTTCTGCATCAAGAAAGTGGAGAAATGGACCTCACCTCTCAATGAGAAAATGGCTTGTGTAGAAAGATTGGGTGAGGATTTGAAGGGGGATTGAGGGGCAACCACTTTGAAGATAAGCTTACTACCTTACATTTTCTCCTGTCCTACACCCCTTTGCCCTCAAATTTGTATTTAAATTCGTTCTAATTATGGTTGAATCTAGATAATAATATTTAATCCTTAGACTAAAAGATCTGTTATATTGACGTTGATTTGATTCTGCCAGCAAACTGATCTTTATGTTTTTCATTTACCTGCAATATTTCTTAATTATAATAGAGTCTGCAAGTAATTCTTCCATCTTTCAGAAATTCGAGTTGTTCTCTCAGGACAGTGATCAGGAATTTTTTGAGCTCAGAATTCTAGCAAGGTTTTGCTGTTCTGTCTATATGATTGTAATTTAAGAAATGACCATAACTGGGATGGTACAAGAACCAGGGGTTGGGGTAAATGGATTTTGTTGTTCTAGTCTTAGCAGTGTTGTTTGCCTGTGTCTCACATGCACGTACACTTGGCTCCAAGTTATCTGGATATGTATTCTTATCTTAAGTGACGGAACTTGTTCTTATTTCCTGGCTTTATTGTGCCTTCCTGGGAACCTTGCTGTTGGTCAGTATTTTTCAAAAGCTGTCTGTGGACCATCCGTGAATTAGTCATTGGGGATGCTTATAAAAAATACAGGTTCAACACATTTAGTAATCAAACTTAATGAGGGAACTGGGACCTGGGCATCTCTGTTTTTATCAAGCTACCTATGTGATACTTCTGCACTCTGAAGTTTAACCCTAACGCAGATCAAAGGATAGTCTGCTACTTGCCTTACATTAGATTATTTGTATTTCATGTTCCTTTTCATGATCGAGGATAATTTGGGATAGGCCTTAGGATTATTTGCTGTAAATTGGAATGAACCAGAATAAGGCATTGCCTTCTGTGTGAGAATTCAACAGTAAGACAACAGATTTTTTTTTTGTGCTGCTCTTTCTAGTGTTATTTCCTTAGTTTATTTAATCGAAGCTAGGTTTCTTTTGAATTGGTTTTTGCATACAAGTTTCTCACAGTAACATTTTAAAAGTCTGCCCAGTGTATTCCACCTTTTCAACCTGTTTCTCAGTGCTTTGCATACCTTTTGCTACATCTGTATTTAGATTATTTAATGTTC